CACACACACACACACACACACACACACACACACACACACACACACACACACACACTGGATCAGAACCGCTATCACTCAAACTTTAACTCCAGCTGCGCCTGACAGGATGAAACCGTTTCAGAACCGAAACCCCGCTGAGATCCGGGATGCGTGACCAGATCCGACCAGGACCTGTGCCTGGTCCGAACAGAACCAGGTCCGGGTGTGTTAACCGAACTCAGACGGTTCTGGACCGTCTGTGACCTGCAGACTATTGGACAAAGTTCTGAATGGACTTTGGTTCTGTCTGTCAGAAGGTGTGTGTGTGTGTGTGTGTGTGTGTGTGTGTTAAGGCGGACTACAGCGCCCTCTCTCGGCTGTCTGGAAGTGATTAACTCTGATTTATGAGCTTATTTTTCACAAACTGAAGATGTTTTTTTCCATTTTTATCTCCCGCCGTTAAAAGACAAAGTCAGTAATGTTTATTTACGTGTGTTTGTGTTAGTAAAATATCTTATAAACCATTGGACGGTTTAACAAATCTGTTAATAACTTTTGGAGCTAATTCAAGGAGTGTCTTCAGAATCAGATTGTGAAGGTTCTGGACCATCAGAGAGGGTTCTGTTGGACCCGGATCACAGAGGGTTCTGTTGGACCCGGATCAGAGAGGGTTCTGTTAGACCTAAGTGTGGACAATGTAAAGTCTCAGATCCATCTGTCCTCCTGCTTTAATTCATTTAAAATAATTGCAATGGTTCAATTTAATTATAATAATAACTTTATTTGTAAAGCGATTTCAAACAAAGCGCTGGACAAGACATAAAATCACAGAAGACAAAAGGCGAAGTCACGAAGTGAAAAACGAGATCACGAGGAACAAATAAAAACAGAAAACAAGAGATAAAATCACAGGAGAGGGTAAGACAGTGGTAATAAAAACAAAGGAAAAAATTAAAACAAGTAAAAATAATTTAAACAGGTGTGTCTTTAGCTTTAAAAACCTGAACAGAACAAGCCTGATGTCCTGAGGGACATGGCTCCACAGAGAGGGGGCACGTTCACCAATGGTCTTTCTTCTGGCTTTTGGGATTATTATGGGCCAGTACCTTCTGATCTGAGAGATCGTGGTGGAACATAGGGATGTAAGAGGCTGGTAAGATACGGAGGCGCCACCATTTAAAGCCTTATAGGTGCAATAAGACCTTAAAGTCAGCCTGAACCTGACAGGTCAACCAGTGGAGGGATAACAGTACAGGGCTGATGTGGTGAGGTAAAATACAGGCAGCTGCATTCTGGACCATCTGCAGACATCTAAAACTTTTCTTGGGTCGTCCGGAAAGGAGGGAATTAGAGTAATCGATGCGTGACGTCACGAAAACGTGGATAAGAACCTCAGCATCATCAAAAGAAAGGATGTGCTGGATTTCAGCAAAGGTAGTAGGTAATCCTTGTTACTTCCTTCAAATGGAAGTCAAAATAAAGCTCAGGATCAAACCACACGCCTAGGTTTCTAACTTTACGTTGGCATCTGATGACCTGATTATCAGTTTTCAGGGTGAAAGCTTGAGACAAGCCATGGAACTTCTTAGGTCCAATGATGAGTACCAGGTAGGTCAGTCTTATCAACGTTAAGAAGCAGGAAATTGTTAGAAAACCAACCCCTTGTAGCTGACAGACAGGTCTCCAGTTTAGACAAATTGACACAGTTTTCAACTGTGAAGGGCATGTACAGCTGTCAATCATCAGCGTAGCAGTGGAAAGTGACATTAAACGAATGCAGGAGAAAACCAAGGGGCAAAAGATAAAGTGAAAACAGTAGGGGGCCCAGCATGGATCCCTGAGGGACCCCATGCTTCACAGCGCAGTCTTGTGTTTGAAATTTGTTTGAAATTTGTCTCCATTCTGTTCAGTGCAGGAGCTGCAGCAGGACCCTGTAGACCTTGTTGACCCTGAAGATCCTGTGGACCCTGTTTCTGGAGAAAATGTAGAAAGAATCAAAGAATTAGATGGTAAAAGTGAAACAGATTCAAAACAGGCAAAACTTTTCATAACAAACCAACTCGGTCCCTCTGTCAAATGAAAAAGACCAGAGTTGTAAAGTAAATAACTACAAATACTTTGTTACTGTACTTAAGTAGAATATTTGTGTATCTGTACTTTACTTGAGTAATTATTTTTCAGCATATTTTTTACTTCTACTTCTTACATTTTGACACAATTATCTGTACAGTTTTTACGTTTAAATAGAAAATAAACTTGTCTTCTCATCACTTCCTCTTCTAAACACCTTGAAATTGGCCTCTGTCTCTTTAAGAACCTCCTTCCCACGCGGGGACTCGTGCTATGATGCAGTTTACTTGGCATCTGAAAATACATTTCCTCGAAGGTATTTTTAATCTGAAAAGAGCTTCACTGAGT